GCATAAAAGAGCCTGGCTTCCCTCAACTACATTTTCACCATTTATTTATTTGAAATAATTTGTTAGTTAATATTTATTGATTATTACTTAATTATTAGTTTATTTATTAATTAAAAATAAATAAATATATATTGTCTCCAGTGAAAGTGAGGGCTTGTCGCCGCTGCGACGTGGTATTGTAAGGCTAGTGGTTACGAAGGCGAAAGGACAGAGGTCGACCAATGATCACCAATGCTCAAGCGCTCCCGTGTGAAGACAGATCAATACATCACTTTTTTGCGAGGGGCCCCACCCTCACGCAAATTTATGATTTCCGCTTCTTTCGCATTCTTTGCTTTTAAAATCCTCAGTTCTTCGGAACAATATAGAGTCTACCAACATGTATCACATGAATGTAATGTATTTGTACTGAAATTCCCACCAAGAAATAACTGAGTAAGAAAAAAAAACTGTAGGAATTTCATAGGAATTTACGAGAACTTACCAAGATGATTGCTTTGCCAGGTCATTTCATGGCCATCAACCGTTTTCTCGTATCTGGGATAGAACATTACTCCCGCATTGCAAATTAATATGTCGATTTTATCTTCATCTGAAATGAGAAGGATTAATATGTCGATTTTATCTTCATCTGAAATGAGAAGGCATTTCCCAGCGTAATGTTGACAATAAATAGAGTAAACGAATGAGACTTGCATTAAATTATGTTCCGAAAAATGACATTTACGAAGAAGAAGCGAAATATTTATCTCTTTAGTCATGGCTGGCGACAATGCTGCAGCTCCCGCACCCCCATTTTCTCTCACAAATGCATTCAACTGCTTTCATAAACCTTTCAAAATTTCGTTTGCACATTCCCTGATGCTGTTGAAATCTGCAAGATCACATCGAATGTTGATGAGACGTGTAGCATCACAGCCCATCTGAAAAACAGCGAATTCAGACTCACAATCAGCCTATTATTCCGTGCTGTTGTTTACTTGTGTCGTACGCTTGTTCTCCCCCTTACAGCTTCGGAATTTTTGAACAAAGATCCTCTAATTGCATTTATGACATGAAGGCATCACGCTTTAATTAGCCCTTTTATGGCTTGGCTCAACCAACGATTATAACATTCCGCTTCCAACGATTATATAACCCGCTACCTTTGCAGAAACTGGTTTTGTATCACTAAAATATTCTTGTAGGGTTGTTAGGTGGAACAATTTATTAAATCAACGGCCTAACGCCCGCCTTTGGGCTTCTGAAGAAGGCAACAGCGTCGAAACGGCCGTTGATTTAGTAAATTGTTCCACCTTACAACCTTGCACCGCACAAGAATATTTTAACCATAAACAACTGGTATTTTTACTTGTTGATTTGGTAGTTGTCTGCATATTTACATACCTATTAGAAAAAAAAANAAAAAAAACTGTAATCGGGAAGTCTGTTTGCCGTATAGTAGTACGAAAGGGTTGATAACAAGCATGTTTTGACGACGCGCAAACGTTAGTAGCGTTATATTTAGCAGCAGCTGGAAAAAAATCGATGTTTCCCACCCTCACTCATTTTTCGTCTAAAAACCCGTTCGTAGCTATGGTCTTTAGTAGAAGAGCCCCTTCTCCGAGCAATTCGTTAGTGCATTGTTAGAGAAATCTATCCTTAGCAAGCTTCCAATAGGAGAGCTCTTCTCCTTAATCATCTGAATGAAAACGACAGTGAAGTGAATCTCTTCGTTGCTCCCTGCTCTCGAAGTCTTGAACTATTCGAAAGTTTCCAGAAGACCATTTCATACCTATGAATCATGGGAATTTAGGAGATGGGTTGCGCTAAGGTAAAGCGCAGAATGGTAGACAGAAAGGCTATGTCTCTGAATCAAATCCAGCAGTTTAATTAGTCGAATAATTTAGGCAGGAATCACCGTTTCCTTTATGCCATACTTCGATTATTTTTCGCTTTACAATAATTCTACTGAGATGTTCGATAATTTGAGTTAAAATAAAGAATACAAATCTAGTTTTTCGTACCGTCATCAAGTCTGCCATCGCTGATCCTTTTTCTCAGCAATTTACTAGCAAAGTAGCAGCAGCATCATTTCTTTGATGTCATGAGGGATTGCTTGTCCTTCCCTCATCTCTTCATTGTATAGATCGTTTAGACATTCCTTATGATTTAGGTGATACATCACATTGACAACCAAAAATGTGTCCTTCGGAAAGAGCCTCGTCATCCTTTCCAGTTTTCGTGCCCGATCCAATATTTCACAATGTGAAACCAATTCCTCCTCTTAATGTAAGTTTCTCTTCATGTCTTCCGAACTACCGATAATTATTTGGTCTAAGGCCACCAACCCACTCGGGTAGGTGTTCACCGGTAAAACACTGTTTTTTAACACTATTCATGGGAGTTGGACAAATTGTGATAAATAAAAATGCAGTAGGATCACACTAATTTCAACTCGCAAAGCGTGTCTGTCAGTATGTCGATGTGCTTGCGCGTGTGTGTCGGTGGGTATCGTGGGTGTATGTACATGTATATGTATGTGTATGTATACGTGCGTATGTGTGCGCCTGCTTGAGCGGAAATTCATAACTCCTGTTCCGGGGACCCAAAGCATTCAAGGTTTTGATATAAGTTGGTAATAACCGAGTTACTAAACACGCAACATTTAAGTAGGACCTTACTCATGGCGGGAGTGCGTGCACGGGTGTGTCGGCGTGTGTGCGTGTGTGTTTGTGTACTGAAAAAGTCATATTAGAGGGGTGCAGACGGCGGGCCAATTTCAACCCGAAAAGAAGTAGAGCCTGACATTAGTCACGGGATCCGACTGTTAAGAGTTGATTAGGATTAGCACTGGAAGCGTCGCAGTGAGAGAGACGCCGCGAGCGAAGGAATGAAGCAGAATGCAGCAGCAAGTAAGATACATAGTATACATACATAGTAAGATACAAATACAGGAACAAAAGAACTAGCAGTAGAGGTGTCATAAGTAATAATTGCATAGCGATTGAGCTGTGAGAAGAGCGCTAGAACTGTTATAGAGGCAAATGGTCCGCGGCAGTCGCGTGCGGCCGATCGATTACACAAAACCGTTCCTACTGCCCGTCTCCCCTAGATAGGGAAATAGAGTTTACAGGGATCTCGTAGTCACAAATGTGTCATTTTCTAATCAAATGAAAAAAAAAACCTGGTGCACTAATCGTTCCGCCTTTGTCACAGGAAGACGAGTACCAGGCGAGCCAACTGGTATAGTTATTATAATATTACCAGACGGATCGCCCGGCTAACGCCAGGCTCTCCTCCTTCTTGTGTCAAACACCCTATCTCGAGAAATTGCAACTAAAAAGTTTTTTCCTCTTATTCAAAGTTTATAGGTTTTTTAAGTTTTTTCCGCTGTTTAGCTGAGTGAGAGTATGAAATTGAAAAAGAGCTCGAAACAGATTATGTCGTCGTAGCATATCACATAGTCAGTTCGCACGGCTAACGCAGGNTCAATGGCAGAGCCCCTTCTACTAGCAAACTGTTGGTGCATTGTTAGAGAAATCTATCCTTAGCAAGCTTCCA